TAAATAGCAATAGGGGAAATTAATTTTCTTGACAATTTATTTAAGCCACTGTATCCATAACAACATCATTTCAACATGTGACCAATATTTTAAAATAATCGCGATGTTTAAACGTGTCCTTTCTCACACTAGTCTTTGAGAGCCCATGTGCATTTTACTCTTACAGGACATCTCAACCAGACCAGCCACCTTTCAGGTGCCCCATGGCCCCTTCTGGCCAGCAGCTGCCATATTGGACAGCACAGCTCTGGATGCCCAGTGGTGGCTGGTCCATGTTGAGCAAGCCCTTTGAGTCTCTAGACCTCTGTTTCCTCGTTTTTGAATGGGGGATCTAGGCTAGAGGATCTTTAGGTCTCCTCTTCACCCTGACGTTCTCCAACTGTCAGTGCTGAAAACAGAAGGGCAAACCAAGACAAGCGGGGCATGGGCAAACCAAGACAAGCGGGTCTCCCTATGAGAGCTTCATCTCCTCATCTGTATAATGGGGGCATTTGAATGTGATCCAGATCCATGGATGAGGAGGTGCTTTGCAGAGAAAAAGAAGGGAGGCATAGTGTTATGAGATTGTTACTAAGACTGTGTTTGACCATAGCGAATGCTCAGAATCTACTTGTTACTAAGACTGTGTTTGACCATAGCGAATGCTCAGAATCTACTTGCTTAGCCTCAAGGCTACCTCCTCAGTTTACGTATCTAAACCTTATCCATCTCATCAGTCTGTAAGGTGGGGATAAAAATGGCGCTAATGAACGGGGTGCTGTAGCATGCCTATGGTCCCAGAGGTTTGGGAGGCTGAGGCAGGAGGATTTTGCTTGAGACCAGGAGTTCAAGGCCAGCTCTTGCAATATGGTGAGACCCCATCACTACAAAAATTTAAAAATGACCTGTGATGCTAGCACTTTGGGAGGCTGAGGCAGGAGGATCACTTGAGCCCAGGAGTTTGAGACCAATCTGGGCAACATAGGAAGACCTTGTCTCTACAAAAAAAAAAAAGCCTAGTGTAGTGATGCATGCCTGTAGTCCCAGCTACTTGGGAGCCTGAGGGGTAAGGATCACCTGAGCCCAGGTGGTCAAGACTACAGTGAGCAAAGGGTGTGGAGCCCGTGGAGCCACTTCACTCCAGCCTGGGTGACAGAGTGAGACTCCGACTCAAAAAAAAAATAAAGGCCAGGTATGGTGGTGTGCAGCTGTAGTACCAGCTACTCAAGTGGCTGAAGTGAGAGGATTGCTTGAGCCCAGAAGTTCAACTCCAGCCTGAGTAACAAAGCGAGACCCCGTCTCTGAAAAGCAAACACAAAATCCCCAAAAAAGGCACTTCCCACGGTGGCTATAAAGATTAAATAAGCCACCCCTGCAGAGGGCTCAGACTCCATGCTCAGCACACAGTCAACACTCAGTCACAGAAACTGCTGTCACCATTCCTCCTGTTGCAGAAATGAGGTTCAGGGTGGGAGCAGCTCGCCCGAGGTCATGCAACAAGGAGGGAGTAGCAGGCACTGGCCTATTTTGGCTCCCTCCTCCTGGCTGGCATGCCGCCCTGCTGCCCCGCTGCCCCGGTAGTCAGCCCCTCATTTTCTCGCAGCGAGGTAAATGAAATAAATACACCCGAAACCACTGAACTACTCGAAGGAGGCTCGGGTCCAAGTATTGTTTCCATGGTATGTATTCTGGCAGGCATGCATATGTGATTTGTTTAAAATCCCAGTTCCTGAGGGTGGAGGCTGGGTTGCAAGGCTGCTCCACCCGGCACCCACCTCTTTGCAGACAGTGCCCCCCACTGTGGCTGTCGAGAGATTCCTTGGTGCGATTTCCAGGGAAGGACCCCTTTTCTATAGGATGCCTGAAGAACCTTTGGCAGGACCATGATAGAGTAGAAATTGCCCTGAATTAAAAACCAGGAAATCCAAATCCTTATCTATTACATGAGAATAATAGGAAACCACTTTTTCTGTGCAGTCACCCTGTGACATTGCTAAGTTCCCTGCATTCACTATTTCATTTAATCCTCCCAGGTACCCAGAAACATAGTCATTATTACTGACTCTGCTTCACAGATAAGGAAACTGAGGTTCAGAGAAAATAAAGAACTCACCCAGAAATACCCAGACAGAGCCAGGAAGGACCTTAAGAAACGTCCCTGTGACTGTAGGGTGGCCAGCCATCCCTGAGAAGTCTCACAGACACTGGACATTTAAGACTGGGACAAGGGGTTATCCCTAGCGCAGCTTAACTTATTCATCTGTATAAGGGGGATAGCCGAACCTGGCCTTGGTCAAGACATGAATGAAAAATATGATAGCAGATGAGGATGTTCTTTTGGTAGGAGAAGGAGACAGAGAGAGTGTAGAGGAATTGGTATTAAGTTTATGATTGGTCTGGGCACGGTGGCTCATGCCTGTAATCTCAGCACCTTGAGAGGCTGAGGCAGGAGGATTGCTTGAGCCCAGGAGCTCGGGACCCGCCTGGGCAACATAGCAAGACTTCATCTCTAAAAAGAAAAAAAAAAATTAGCCGGGTGTCGTGATTATGTAACTGAACTCCAGCCTGGGCTACAGAGTAAGACCCTGACTCAGAAAGAAGAAAAACAAAGATTATGATTGACAATGGACAGTGCAGAGACACACAGCTTGTTCTCTCCCTCCCTCTCTGTGTCTGTCTCCCAGCAAATGATGAATATCCCTGCCTCTTCCCAGCCCAGCCTCTTTCCAATTCCTTCCAAAGATGAGGTTTTCTTTCTAGGACCAAGGTGTGAGAGAGAAACAACACCCTGATTTCTCAAGCACCAGCCAAGAGCCCTCCCTGATTCTAGAAAGCAGCTGAGCATCGCAGGGACACGCTGAGAGTCGCGGGGGAGGGGGAAGGGCTGTGCATTGTTCTATGTCTGTTTTCTCTTTTGTTAAGCAAAGTGCACCAAAGGCCAATTTTGGTCTTTGTCCTTTGGTAAGGTCTGTCCTGAGCCAGCGTCTGGAGGAAGCAAACTTAGGGTCCTTTCCTCCCCAAGAGGTCGCCTTCCAGTCCCTTCTTTCAGTAAATAATGGAGCCCAGTGCCAAACCCGGAAAGGCACCACTGCCTCTGCTGCCAACTAGACAATGAGCATCCTGGGTTTGGTACCCAGAAGAGGTGAGGCCCGGGAAGAGGTAATGAAGCAAGGAGCGAGAGGGCTGATTTGCCCCAGCAAGGAGGGACATGGGGGTCCTAGGTGTTTCTCCGTGCAAATCAGAACCCCAAAAACAAGATGCCGAAAGACACTCAGCCGCGACACACGGGCCACACACAGCAGAGAAATGACACAGCATGCAGGCGATGCATGAATACACAGAGAGAAACACACACACGGAGCGACGCCAGATGGAGAATGCAGCCCGGGCTGGGTCTGGGTATTCATTATTTCCTAACCCACGCAGAGGGGCCGGTGGAGTTACATAATGCAGGCTGCCAAGGGGAGGCTGAACTTGCTAACCACCCTCTTGAGGGAATCTGGGAAGTGGGACCTCCCTATAGGAGGGGTTTCTGCACCCACCTGCTGCTCTCAGAGGTGGCAGGAGCGTGTCAGCTGCCTCACACCCTGGAGTGACCCTGGGAAGTCACTAACAAGGAAACAAGGAAGTGTCAGTGTGTTAGCCGTGGCAGATGGGGGCTCCCTCATGGCGCTAAAGCGTGGTGAGGATGCTGGCAGGAAGGCACTTTGGAACGGAGATGGAGCTGGGACGGACGTGGGGGTAGGGAAAGCGATGAAGGAGCCATCTGAGGGTCCCCCTCATCCACCCAGGGCCCCACCCACCTGCCCACGCCCACAGGTCACCTTTCCCACCCCAAACACATCATACCATGCACACATATGGCCCCGTGGACACATGCCACAGGTGCACACCCCTCACCTGGGCCACAGCATCTCCAGCTGGACCCCCCGGTGGCCTTTGGTACCCTGACCAGACCCTATTTTCCTGAACTTGAGGGAATTGGCAACTTGGAAGTTGCCAACATTTCAGGGGGAAAGTTAGGAGCTGAGAAAATAGCTAGAATATGAATTTGAAATAGCTAGAGTATATGTTCACAAGCTCAAGGTCAAATCCTCCCTCGGCCATTATACTCTATGTGACCTTGGACAAGTTACTGAACCTTTCCAAGCTCGGGTTTCCTCATCTGTGGAGGGGTTATCATGAAGATCAAAAGAGGAAAAAAAAGGAAAAAACGTGTCAAGAGCAAAGTTCTCAGAGAGTGTCTGCTATGTTTAATCTTTGGGGGTTTTTCTTCTTCAATTAACAAATGTTCAGTGAGCATCTACACTGTGCCTATGCTAACCCTATGGGTCCGACTTCCACTCTTCCTAATGTTTCTCCCTCAGTTTCAGATGGTCTGTAGAGCACAAGTGTCTTTCACAATTTTGTGTGGACCCATCTCGTTGGTATTTATAATGTTTGTAGTGTGACCAAGTCCATCATTTTGAACTTGGAACAAGCTAATAATTGCAGAAATGGTCATGAGGCCAGTTGGCATCCCTCATCAGCAGGCCCATGGAAAGCAGGTCATTCCCTTCCAGTGGCCTTTGGAAGTGGCTGGAATGGCGAGCCCAAAATTCCGTGCCTGCTGGTCTCCTGAGCTGTGAGTGGGAAAAGTGCATGAGGTAGAGCGCACAAGACTGCTTGACAAGTTGGAGTGGTGACTTACTGCGGTGGGAAAGAGATAAGAGAGGTCTTAGAATTCTTGTCATTCGATTCCTGGCGCTGACTATTCATGGTTCCCCTAGAGAAAGTCTTTGGGGTCTGAGGGTTTTGATTGTGGAAATGAAACCCAGCAATTTGCAGCTAACTGGGAAAGGTATCCTCCTCCAGGAAGAAGGATTTCATTCCTAGGTTGGCTTCAAAACTCTGGAGTGTCTCATGGCCATACTTTGTCAGTTGGCTGTGTTTTCCATCTTCGTTTTGAAGGTGGTGTTGGACACTCCACTTCAGTATCTCTCTTTTTTCTTTTCACCCCCTCCCTTGTTCCTTCTCTTCAGCTCAGGAAGCCCCAGATCTCATCTGCATCTAACGGGCTGGCGACCAAGATATCTAGAGAATAGTTCACATCTATCATACGTCACTTCTAGACACATCCACCAGACACTTGTCCTCCAGTCTGCCTGACCTGTTGCTTAGGGACACGTCCCACTGCCTCTCCTGACGTCTGCCTGGTCAACCGTCATTCCCTCAGAGAGCAAGGAGAGAGGCAGACGCATGAAATCATGCCACCGATGGGCCAACGGCAATGAGTGGGTGACGCCGGGTTGACGTCAGAGGCAGAGAAGGCTGAAGCCTCTGCAGCACCCGTCTCCTGGCTCCTGCTCTTGGTGTCGCCTGCAGCCTGGTTCCTCCTGGCGAGATCATCTGGGCCTGATACATTCTGAAGTCTTCAGACGGGACTCTCGGAAGCCAGCCACCATGGAGGATCACATGTTCAGTGTCCAGCAGATCCAACCCAATGTCATTTCTGTCCGCCTCTTCAAGCGCAAAGTCGGGGGCCTGGGCTTCCTGGTGAAGGAACGGGTCAGCAAACCGCCTGTGATCATCTCCGACCTGATTCGAGGGGGCGCCGCGGAACAGAGCGGCCTCATCCAGGCGGGAGACATCATCCTCGCGGTCAACGGCAGGCCCTTGGTAGACCTGAGCTATGACAGTGCCCTGGAGGTGCTCAGGGGCATTGCCTCCGAGACCCATGTGGTGCTCATTCTGAGGGGGCCCGAGGGCTTCACCACACACCTGGAGACCACCTTCGCTGGGGACGGGACCCCCAAGACCATCCGGGTGACACAGCCCCTGGGTCCCCCCACCAAAGCTGTGGATCTGTCCCACCAGCCGTCGGCCAGCAAGGAACAGCCGCTGGTGGGGGATGGGGCCTCAGGTCCTGGGAACGGGCCTCAGCATGCCCAAGACAATGGACAGGAAGCTGGCTCACTCTCCCACGCCAACGGCCTGGCCCCCAGGCCCCCGGGCCAGGACCCTACCAAGAAAGGAGTCAGGGCCCGCCTCCAAGGCGGAGGGGAGAGCAACGAGCTGCTCAAAGAGATAGAGCCTGTGCTGAACCTCCTCACCAGCGGGAGCAAGGGAGTCAAGGGAGGGGGACCCACCAAGGCAGAGACGAAAGACACAGGAGTCCAGGTGGACAGGTAAGCCCCACAGGTGTGTGCGTGTGTGCATGCGTGCTCTGACACTCAGCCTCACAGCCCAGAGGCCCACCAGGGCTGTCTCACATGCCCGCGCCTACACATCATCTGCACTTAAAATTACAATCCCATGAAACCAGTGGGCATTGCCTCTAGTATGGATCTCTTGCCACGAAGCCCAGAGCTAATTAATCACCATGGTGGAGGACAGCGTGTCTCCCCATCTTTATCCCGGGTAATCCTCTAGGGTCCCTAACAAGATGGGCATTTTTCCAATCCGTGTTTGACAAGGGAGAAAACTGAGGCTCAGAAAGGAGGGGCTAGACAGGCATGGTGGCTTCCGCCTGTAATGCCGTTACTTTGGGAGGCCGAGGCGGGAAGATCACTTGAGATCAGGAGTTCAAGGCCAGCCTGAGCAACAGAGGAAGACCCTGTCTCTACAAAAAAAGGGGGGAGGAGGGGGTCTGAGGTTGTCCTGTGAGTGAGAGACGTGTGTGCACATCACCCTGAAGCATGTAGCTCATGCTGGGGCCCTGAGGAGAGACAAGGGAAGAGCCAAGCCCCGGCTGCCTAGGCCAACCTTCTCACCACAGCCAGCGAGGATGAGTAAAGTCATCAAGGAGAAGAGAATCCAGTATGGAATTGGCCCTGACTCCCAGAAACAGCAGTCTTGCTGGGGCTATGTGGGCGCTGAGGCTAGAACTTAAAGAGCTGGGTCCCAGCCCCTCCCTCTGTGTTGGCCAGATTGGTGTTTTCTGATTCTCCAGGGGAGGAGAGTTGGCCTCCCAGTGGATGATGCAGCTCTTTCTCTGGGGAGAGACCAGCAGCTGGGACAGGCGGTCAGAGAAGAGTGGGATCAGGAGATGCGAGAGAGAGAGAGAGAGAGAAACCACGCTCATCTTAGGTCTGCCACTGACCCTAAAGCCCTCAGTGCTGCCAAGGTGGGTCTAGGCACACCAGGAGGGAGACTCAGTCTGGGGCCACCCAGAAATCCAGACCAAGATTTTCTGACCCCTCCCCAGGAACCCCTGAGTGTCTGGGACTGTCCAGGAAGCCCCTTAGGGACCTGGACAAAGATGGCTCCATGGGCCCCTTCAGTCCTTCCTTTACCAAATGTTCACTGAGGATCTAGTTTGTGTTAGGCACTGCCCTAGGCTCTCATGGTAGAGCAGTGAATGAAACAGACAAAGCCCCTGACCTTGGGGAGCTTACAGTGTAGTGGAGAAGCCAGATGATAAACAAGATAAATATGTAAACTGTGTCTCAGAGGTCCCAGGATAGGTCCCATAAGGTTTTAACACTGTATTTTTACTGTCCCTTTTCTATGTTTAGATACACAAACACTTCCCATTGTGTTACAATTGCCTATAGAATTCAGCACAGTAACATGCTGTGCAGGTTTGTAGCAGGAGAGCAACAGGCTAAACTAGCCTCAGTGTGTAGAAGCCTAAGCCACCTAGGTGTGGTGTGAATACACTCTGATGTTTGCACAATGATCAAACCAACTAACTGCATTTCTCAGAACGTGACCTATCGTTAAGCTTTATATGACTGTATGTTAGTGATATATGCTAAGGAGTTTAAAAAAGAAGAAGAAGCAGGGAAGGGGATCAGAAGTATTGGGAAGAGGGAAATTTTAAATAGAGAGCTTTTGAAGACAGGGAGGGAGGGAGCCTGGCAGCTTTCTGGGAGAAAAACATTCCTAGCAGAGAGAATGGCCCATGCAAAGGTGTGAGGTAGGAGTATACGTGTGTTTGAGGTGCTTGGGATCCAGGCCTCCTCCCAGACGGGGCAACCCCCAAACTGCCCTTTGGTGACCCCTCTGTCTGCAGCAGCCCATCCCAACCCACCATTGCATACTACGGTTTTCCTGGCCTCCCATACCTTGGTGAAAATTGAGCCAATTCCAGTAAGACCCCTACTTCTCCAAGTAGACAAATAGAAGCTTCATTAGATAACCCTGGGCAGAGGGGAAACAAAGGTCATTTGTGGTGACTCACGCCTATAATCCCAGTACTTTGAGAGGTCAAGGTGGGAAGATTGCTTAAGTCCAGGAATTTGAGACCACCCTGGGCAACCTAGCAAGACCCCAAAAATTATCCAGATGTGGTGGCATATGCCTGTAGTCCCAGCTACTTGGGAGGCTAAGGCAGGAGGATCACCTGAGCCCAGAAGGTCAAGGCTGCAGTGAGTCATGATCATGCTGCTGCACTCCAGCCTGGGCAACAGAGTGAGACCCCAACTCAAAAAAAAAAAAGTCACTTGCCTCTGAGCCCCTGCCCTCCAACACCCTCTTGTCCTCTGAGTTCCCTGGGGACAGTCTGGAGTCTTCCCTGTGCCTCCGATCCTCACCTCCAGGAAGAGGAAGACAGAGAGTCTTGGCCTCAATACGTGGGCCATGGCGTGACCCTCTTGGTGGAGCAGATGCTCGGGGGCCTCTGTCACCCTGGACATCCATTTCCTGTGCTGGAAGCCAGGATGGGGTTCTCTGGGCTGGCAGGGATTAGAGAACTGCTTTACCCCCAATTAGCCTGGGGGCCTCCCAGGCCAGAACCCAGTCCTCGGGGGCGCTGCTACTTCCCAGGGGTCCCTCCAGCAGCTCACCCAGTGCATCTTCCGGGCCTCCCGCAGGTGTCTCCTTCCAAGGACTTAGATCCTAAAACAGCTGTGGGACCCAGAATCGAGGACATTGGCCTTGTTTTCCAGAAGACCTTGGAAAATGTCCCGCCCCAGAGCTGTGCCAGGCACAGCCCCTGCTTCTAAATCCTATATGACCCACCCCGCTCCTCAACACCCCCCTACCCCCAAAGAGAGCAGGGATTCCCAACAGGGGCTCTGTCTTACCTTCTGTGGGCAGAGTCCCCTCCCCTGGGTAGCTGAACCCCTACCATGTCTACTGTCCCATCGACTAGACTGCGATTCCCAGCTGGGCATGAAGTGGTGAGTGTCAGGATTCCCAGGGCTGTATTTCAGTCACACCTCCAGCACCCCAGGAGTCTGAATCTTTCTATGTGCCATGGAAAAGTCCCCCATAGGATCATGATACACTGTCCCTTCTCTCATTGGGGACTGGGCCCTCCCTCCGCAAAGAGCTCACTGGACCATCTTCCCCAGCCAACAGCCTGGGAAGGTACAGAGGCTTGGCACAGAACGCCAGCCTCCATGTGATGTAAAGGACTTCCCGGGGGCCCTCCTGGTAGCTGGGCCCAGAGAGACCTCACCAGACACCGTCTCAAGGGAGCAGACTCCTGCCTTAGTGTCCCCAAGGGTGAGGGCCCTCCCTCCAAGCCAGGCTGACATGGGGTCCTGCCCATCTATTTTTCAACTCAGGGGACTGCATCCCAGTTCCCCCAGCAACCCCATGTCAACCCTGCATGTGATGAGGTTGTTTGCCCAAAAGAATCGGGGGAAAAAATGCTTCAGAGGAGGTAAGGCTTGGGAAAATGTGACCCAGGGCCAGCGCAGGGCTCTTTGAAACCCACCTAGGTGAAGATTCTACGGATGAGTAATGTATGCAGGTCTCTGTCGCCCAGGCTGGAGTGTAGTGGCACAATCATAGCTCACTGCAGCCTTGAACTCCTGGGCTCCGTGATTCTCTCACCTCAGCCTCCCGAGTAGCTGGGACTACAGACACATGCCACCACACCTGGCTAATTTTTTAATTTTTTGTAGAGATAGGGTCTTACTACGTCGCCCAGGCTGGTCTCAAACTCCTGGTTTCAAGCAGTCCTCCCACCTTGGCCTCCTAAAGTACCAGGATTACAGGCATGAGCCACAGCACTGAGCCAGGATGAATAATATTTAATAATAGTACATGTCCCCTAGCTCAATGGCTCACACCGGGATTGGACCCAAATCCCCTCTCCATTTTTTAACAAGTATTTTTAAATGTCTTTACCAACCAGAAGCTAACTCATGGATAGTGTAGTCTACTTACCCTTTATATTTTTAAAATTAATATAATACCATAACTATACCATAAAGGAGACAGCATCAAAGTGACTTATAATTTTCAAAACCTACAATTGAACGTATCCACACCCGGGATATGACTCCACTGGAATGGTCAGATGTTTGTACCCAACACAAAATTGCTGCAAACACAACGGCATCAAAGCAGACTGACACCGGTGTGTTGCTTTGGCTACTCAGACGCCACCAGGAGCATCTCCTTGGTGATGCGATCTTCTAAAACAATGAACGACTCCTGATACAACAGTGGGTAACTCAGTCTTTCCTTAATTTACCCAATAGCTACTTGCATGGAAAATGCAGTGTATTTTTTTTTTTTTTTTTGAGTTGGAGTCTCATTCTGTCACCCAGACTGGAGTGCAGTGGCCGCTCCCAGCCACCGCAGCCTTGACCTGCTGGGCTCCGGCAATCCTTCCGCCTCAGCCTTCCGAGTAGCTGGAACTACAGGCGTGCGCTACCACGCCTGGCTAATTTTTGATTTATTGTAGGGATGAGGTCTCGCCAAGTTGCCCAGGCGGGTCTCAAACCCGCGGGCTCAGGCAATCCACTCACCTTAGCCTCCCAAAGGCACGGGATTACAGGCTGAGCCACCGAGCCCGGCCAATGCAGTGTATTTTAAAGCTGCACTTATATAGGAGAGTGTTGGGATCTCCATCCAGGAATTTAAGCCTGCCTTTTATATATGTGGCAGGCCAAGGGTTGTGTGGCAGTCAGGACCCTTTTTCTCTGGGTGGGCTGGTCCCTGGGGTTGCAGGACGGCCACCACCCCTGATGCTCCCTCCGTCCCCTTACGATGCCAGGAGAGCTCCCCACCCCCATCCTTGTTACACCCAAAGTGCCTCCCACAGATTGCCTAACTGCCCCTCCAAGGGCTGAAATAAGGACTTCGTGAAGAATCGGTGTCCCAAGTCAGGAAGTGGAAGCCCAAAGACACAATGTTCTTGGGGGTTCCTCGGGGCTGGCAGGCCAGGGTTGATTTGCATCCCTTGGAGCACACGGCAGCCTGGAAGATTCTCGTCCTCCCAGCAACC